CTAAGCGACTGACAGTTTCGGTGCACCACTCTAATACTCTGTCACAGAATCTTCTCCTATGGCCTCGGTGCCAGGGCTTGTTAGATGTCAGTCAACGGTCGTATACCCTTGACTCGATAGTTGCTGGGGAAGCCAAGGATATGTCTGAGCATAGCCTATCAATGCCCCTGTTGATGAAACGCCAGATTTCTGCAGGTTCGTCTTGGTGCGTATAACTATGGCCTGACCGTGTTTGGGGTTCTGATTCTTCTAAATGGGTCTGCCTCTTTGGACGTCGACCCCTGTCCGCACGGTCGCGCGCGACGACAACATGTGGCTGGAATCGTAGCAGCATCAACGAGGTACGCAGACCAAAACACCCTCACCCACCCCTTTTGGTTCCGGTTTCTGAATTTTGGGGGGGAAGAGCAGGCCTGTTGATGCAAGCCTTCGGGCCGCTCTTGTGGGACAATCATAATGCTGTACAGCCGGCAGGGATTAGGCAGACCACTGTATGGATACCCAAATCTAGGGCAAAGACAGTTTCGAGGCCATGACAGGTCCGGCTGTCCGCACGCCCTTCAAGCGCCAATCTTGTCCTAGTCGCTCGCGACTTGTAACCTGCGCCCCAGCAAGCGGCATCAGTAGGAATGTGATGCCTGCATTTCTTGAACTAGCGTACCACTCGATCCCCACTTCTTCGTTAATGCCCGACGGGTCCATCATGAGGAACCCAGTGCCCTTGCAGTGGCGTTCCTCATTTCCGGGAGATGCGTCTTTGACACGAGTATCGATACGAGGCCTCCCGTCGCACTCCCATGCCCCAGTTCTGGCTGTTCTCCAGTTTGAACTACAGCCTGCCCAGACGCCGTGCTGAAATGACGTGTTTGGTCACCTCACTTTCTATCCCTTTGTGCCCTTGCCTCACGTGGATATCTGGAGGCCCGTAGCGTCGCCTGACGGGTATCCTCGTCTTGAAACACTCCAGGCACTGTACTGTAGGTACTCGGAATTGGCTCAGGTATCCCACAAATGTCACGTAGGGACGAGACCTCGCATGGCGAGGCGTAGTGCCGGAAGCAGGCTGTGTAGATCCACCATTCCTGCACCGAACCGAAGCCACTCCACCCAGACTGAACTGTAACTGCTGAGTTTGAACATTACAGTACTGTACGTCAAAAACTCCAGGTGTCACGCAGCGGTCTTGGTTGTGGCCAACATCGGTCATGGATACAGTGAAGGGGTCACGTGATAGCGTGTTACATCGAGAGCCACCTCAGGGGCTGGCGCGTCGCGCCACCTTTGGCCGTTTCTCCTCTTCACGTCGTGTTGCGTGTTGTATCTAGTCTTGACCCTAAGTGAGAGAACGACCATTTCTGGCTTCCCACCACGTCAAGTGTCACTGCTGATCCTTTTCGCATGTGAATCCTGACACCAGGCAAGAAACTCTAGTACGAACTTGAGGCACGGCGGTACGAGTAAAAAAACAGAACCGTCGCGGGCAACAGGCGATACCGAACGGCAAGCCCCACGTCGACTTTGACCAAGGGGTGAAACTATGACTCTCCAGCAGCTGTGAAACTGGCGGTATACCCGCCTCCCGATGTCTCCGTATTGTTACCTAAAACTTGTCTAGCGACTGGCCCTGCAATAGTCCAGCAAGCAGCTGAAGCACGCGTCTAGTTCATCGAAGTGCAGCAGACGTGTGGGTTCGAGGGTGAGGTAGCAATGAGGTGACTTCATGCATGTCTCACTTGTGAAAATTGTACAGCTAGCTATCCGAAGTGAGAGATTCCCTATCGAAGTTGTCTGTCTCTCTTTTCTCTTCTTGTAGACAATCACTTTGCCCAAGTCGCACCCGACCTTGTTCGTGCATTGTCCCGTCACATCGCGGGCATATGGCTCAAAAAACATCGAAGGCGAAGGGATGTTGCCCGACGAATCGCGAGCGGCGGGCTCCCGGACGAATGTGCAAAAATTACTATGTCTGAGCGACCGAGGCTACAGTGGGAATGAAGGCGGCGATGGCCCAACCGTCGTGAAAAGCATCGCGAGCAAAAGTGAACTCCGCAAATCGGTTCCTCGTGGCTACTATTAGGCCCACAGTGGGTCAAAGCTCTAGCTGCTGACGTCGGGCATGTGAAAAATCAGTTGCCTTTAGCCGGGCGCTACAGTAACAGCCCTCGGCAAGGAAGAATTACTATAGTACAGGGGAGAGCTAGTGATGGTTCCTGGAGCGACGAGACGAGGGCATGTGGGGTACAATGGAGGCAACCACGGCCGAACTCCCGTTATGGGATGGTACGTCTCTACGGAGGGTGTCGTACATAGGTTGATTCGGCCGATCCATCGGGTTCGGCGCGGGATCTGTAACGGGCTGGGGCCCTGTGGGTCTCGGCTCCGCTCTCGACCGGGATCCACACCAGCTCCGGAGCTCCGCTCAGAAGCTCGTATTCCTTTCTGCAACTTTCTCTTCTCTTCTTTCTTTCCTTCTTTCCTCCCTCCTTAGCTTTAGGATACTCGTTGCAGTCGCTCAGCTAGTTGTCAACACACTCAGTTGGGACCGTTACAGGATCCATTGGACTGATGCTCTAACCTGTCTGATGGTCGCCGCATTGCTGTACCGATGCGATTCCACAGGCGACTGATTCGTTCACCGTAAAGACCGTAAAGGATGGGGACGGCTGCGAGTACATGCGTCATTGGTAGTGGATGTCAGAGAAAGCTGTGGCATTCTCTCCTCCGCCAGGCGGGGTACCTCCTTCAGGTCCGAATTACGCCAGGGGAGCATCGGAAACGAGCGTTGTTACTGCTGCGATTCGGTAGTTGCTTCAATCTCTCGAAAGAGTTTGCCAATATATGCGATGGTTCTGAAGCGGACTGCCTTAGGAGGTGTCCGGTTATTGGCCCGTTGTAACCCAGTTGGGACGTCGATAGCGTGGCCGCCTGTCCATATCCTCCATCCAGGCGGATGGACCTGAACAAGTGCAAATGTCTTCTCAAACGCCGGTCAGGGGAGAGAGCTGCCAAGCACATGATTACTATTGTTGTAAGTAACAAAGTATGTAGCAAGCACGCAAGTAGGCCCTGGAGCCAAGCTGATACGTAATGCCTCCAGGAGTCGACGCAAGTACATCTGATCGGAAGCAGCTCCACCATTGCGCCACTCCCCAGATTGTGTAACTATCTGCAGGGACAGATGCGTTGGTCAACTTGTTCAAGACTTGTCTGCGTCATATTGACTGAGTTGAATACCCGGCTTTGAGCTGACAGGGTCATGCAACCATAGCCGTACAACGTCCCCGGGATCCAATCGCAAACCTTACTGCTCTAGTACTGGCTGAAGGGACTGTTTAAGGAAAGTCGACCAGCGGCCTGTGAAGTGTATAGTACTCAATTTGAGATCGTACGCGTGATTTTGCAGTCATGCAGCAAGTGAAACAGCCACATGTCTTGGATAAAATTAACAGGCATCTTCCTGCAGAGCCAGATCCATTGCCCCGAAGGTGCAGGTCGGGTGGATCAGTGGGAAATGCTGGGACCCACCACTCGCTGTCGAATAAGTGCGGCTACTATAGACGGGTTTCCGATAAATTCTTGAACCTGCTCATTACATATCCGCAAGTCGCGCTTTGCTCCGTGGAAAAAAGCGTGCTCATCAGCTCACAGACAGCCAAAAAACCGTCCTGGCATAAAATGTCCCAGGTAACCTTTAAAACTCTCGAGAGTGGTGCTGTACGAAGAACACGTGAGTCTCACTGCTTTCTCGCCCCGAGGCGGTGCTCCAGGACTATTTCATTTGTTGAGATCTGTTGACCGAGATCTAGGGACTCGACGCGTCTCCATGTTGGTTCCGACCCTCCAGGCCCGTAGACGTACTCGTTGCCGTGTGGCCCACAGCGTAGGCCGTTTTGAAGCCAAGGTACACATTGACAAGCTCCAGCGAGAGATTGAAGACCTGAGGAAATTTACGCCGAGCGGACACCGCAACGATGACAGCATGCTTCGAGAACTTCGCCAGCGCAATAAAGACCTTAGGAAGGAGCTATCCCAGCTTAGGACGATGATCAGACTGCTACAGGGTTGCCCATCATCGGTTCCTGAGAACACACATAGTCATGGACCTTGCCATTGGCGACGTACCCGTCCCGGGTCGGTGGACCAGTCTAGGTGGAAAGACACCTCGACTGCCCAAGCAAGTGGTGTCATGGGTCCAACGGACCCTTCACAAAACCAGCATACTTCTGCGTATGAACACCATCATAGCGTTGCGCCGTCGCGCCACACTTTTTGGCCGCAATCTGCCTCGACTCTCCTCCCCATGTCCCTCGCCTCCCACTGCATGGAACATCCGGCGGCAACGGTGTGGACCACGCGCACATATGAGGATGTTGACTGGATCGGAGTAATTGACGTTGTTGAGGAAGGTATGCAGACGGCCCTCTCGTTCACATCCTTGGTCCATGCCGCTCGGACCGGACTGCATTGAAAGACGTTTATCGGGCGAGAACCGCGCCAGTGTCATCGAACACGAGTGGGTAGAGGATCAGGACGCCGGTTTTCGTCGCCGTACGAGCCGGATTCTGTCGAAGCGACATGTTGACAATGACCGTTTGCCTGCTGAACTCTTCGGCTGGCGTGGAGGTTGGTGCGCACGGGAGGGCACTGAGCTGAGAGACAAGGATGGATGCAAGTAAAATATGCTGACACCCTCACCGGAGGTGGGGAGGGTGTAATACAGTCCGAAGGATGTGTCTCTATGACATGATAATAACACGGCGAAATTTCGTACTACTAACTCTGGCTGTGCATTGCTGCACCACGGAGCGATGTGTGCATGACCATGACTTGTTTTAGCCGTCTCCGCACACTATAGCGACGTCGTCAAGAAAAACGAGTTTGGAATAGTGGTTGGCCAAGTCGTTGCTGCTTGCGCCGATTCTCGTCGCGGACTTTCATCAGAACACCTGCTAATCTGTTAGGGCTTATCGAACCGCAAGCATGAATAACATGATGGAGCTCTACTTGCCATCAGGTAGCTTCTCGTAGTGGAGAGATGCCCGTTCAAAAGGCGTGTCGATCATTAGGCCCTCCAATGTCTTGACCCTGGAGACTGCAACGTAGCTCAGCCCTGTCTGGAAGTCCAGTTCAGACAGATCTGTCACCATCTTGTCCACTGTGATGCTCTGTGACTTATGAACGGTAATGGCATACGATGCCATGAGTGGGAACTGCGTTCGTGTACGGGCCGACGTGCCAAGAAAGAAGTCTCGCTTCACTGGGAGTATGGGTACTACCTCGCGCGCATCATCCGTGGTTAGGTACGATGGCCCGGTATTCTTATCCATCACCATCATAATGACAGATGGCGGGTCACGGTGCGTATCAGCGCCAGGCGCCCAACCGATGTCATATACTGTCCCTTGGGCCCCATTGACTAGGCCTGTTGGATGCCAGATGTTCTGGGTCAGCATGAGACGAGCACCAATGCATACCGGAAACTGGCCAGCCAGGTTGCCAGCTTGTTCCGACGTTGCCTTGTCAGCACCGTTACCAATATTCTTCGCCATGACTTGGATCGCTGGACGAGGCGGACGAGATGCTCGTAGTTGTACTCGTTCACACGTGCTTTCTTGCTATAGATACGAAGAGCAGCATCAAACGCATCTACCTCGCGCTGGCCTAGCTTGGCCTGCACACGCTGGCTCAGAAGTTTCCATGACTCGATGGATAGCTTTAAACCACGTAGTTCGTCAAGCGCAAGCCGAAAGCCAGCCTGGTCATCGCCCTGTTGCCGCTGGGCTGTTTTCAAGAAGACGGTATGGTTAAACGCCCTATATGCGGTCTGGCCAGAGACCTCTTGCAGATCTTTGAGTGGCCTGTCAAAGTAGAGGGGCTTGTTCGCAATCGGCGGGAGCTGGAAGAAGTCGCCAACCAGGATAATGCTCATGCCGCCAAAGAATTCGGATGCTCTGCCAGGAAAGACTTGGCGGAGGCGTTTGTCGATCCACGAAAGCTGACGCAGACCTAGCATGCTTTTCTCATCAATCACAAGGTACCTCACATCCCGTACCTTGTTGGGGAGAGCTCCGTAAAAGCCCTATCCACAGGCAGCCGGAGCAGAGAGTGTAGTGTTGTCCCCATTATCTGGTTGCTTGCAACACCTGTGGGTGCAGCTCTCCAGATTGGACTGGGCCGGTTACCAGCGAGCTTCTGAAGATGTGAAGACAGGACTTTGATCAGATAGGATTTGCCCGTCCCGCCACCAGCGTCAACATGGAGTAGAATCTGCTCCTCGCTGCCGCATTGGAAGTGTCCAACAAATGTATCGTACACGATCCGCTGCTCTGGGTTAAGTGTATCGCGGACCTCGAAATGCAGGTCTTCAATGTCCATATGGAGACGATTCTGCGCAATGAGCTGGCGCCAATAATCGCCCTGAACGATTCCTGGGTCAGCGTAGCGGCCGACGTGGGGCATCCAATCGTATTGGACATCGATATCCCGTCTGCCCAGCAGATCTACCGCCTCTTGGCTTGGTGGGTAGTCAGGAAGCTGGCGGACAAGCTCAAGCCAGTCCTCCTCCAGAAGGTCAGGCTCGTGAAATTCATCCTCAAACTCATCCGGATCCGGTCGGCGTTCCTCGGCGTTAGGCGTGCCATAGTAGTCATCAGGGTGCTGGTGGTTCGCATAACAGAATTCGGCGGCAGATGCATGCGACCTGTACTCGACACCGTTGATCTTGCGTAGCTCGTTGGGATCGCGATGTGGGTGGGCCAGCATGAGCTTCACACGACAAAAATCATCGTATTGGGGATGCTGGCGGTTGGACTTATACCGCGGGAAGTAGTATAATACACGAGGCTTGGCTTGACGACTCCAACGGGTCCACTTTCGCCCATCTCTCTTGCTTGTATTCCAGTTGGCTAGGAAGTCAAGGTAAGTGAGTTCTTCATGAAGGGAAGGGCGAGAAAGATACTTCTCATATAACCCAACGACCTCAGCCTCGTCGTGTGATCGCCCCGGAGGCGAAGAGACCGGCCCTGTTGCTCATAGGGGCGGCAATCAACGGCTCTTACAACACGGGTGCCTTCCTGGAGCTCGCAGTTGAGCAAAACATGGCACACCTCTTGCCCCGAGAAGTCTCTCTCAGCAAGCAGCTTGTTCATGAGACGTGAGGTAAACGAAAGAAGTGGGTTCTGGTGGGAGACGTAGGGCAAGATTTGCAGCCCCAGGCTCGCATAACTGTCGGTCCGCTTCTCCATCTTACTGCAATACTTGGCTGCATAATTGATCACAGCTTGAAGGCTGGTGCAGGGGGAGATGTCAATGTTGGCTAACCAGCCAAGACTGAGACACCGGCTATAGTGGTTCATGAGGCTGTCATTCCTGGCTGCCTCGAAGGAGAAATAGGATTGTCCTTGGCGTTGAACGACGTCAGCTGTATCTCTCGTATCTCGTGGGAAGAAAAAGCGGCAAGAAATCTCTTCAGAACCCTTCTTCTTTCGTAGGCAATATGCCTCACTGCAATGGTGGCGTTGGCATCGGTTCAGAACCTGCGAGAGCCATTGGAACGTCAGGGGATGCTGCAAAGGATTCACCGCCAAGGGATTGCCTTCTCCTTGCTGTTGCACTCGAGCTGGCTCAGGGTTGAAAGCTGTGACGTGGACTGCCCAGATACGGGCGAACTCCTGGCGTGCATGCTCATTTTCCAAGTCAACACTCGGCGCACCATCCATCCAGAATAGGCCGTGGCAATGGCTACTTCCACGACCCTGCCACTCATACCTGTTCCAAAAATCAGTGACATTAAATTTCTGCCTGAGAACGATATCTCTGAATAAGCCAAATCGCCTGTAAAAGTGCCAGGCTGCAATATGTGGGTTGTCCCTGAGAAGTTTGCTAGACATCCCCATTCGTTGTTGCTCGGGCATCTCCTGCCAGTCTTGAAACTGGGGCAAATGTTGATAGAGGCTCCTCCAGTGCAAGTCTGCCGGGCTGAATGTAATAAAAGCACCCGGACAGCGAAGGTTGTAGGCGGTTGTAGGCATAAGACTCGAGCTCTCGGCGCTTTCGGTACCAATACGGGCGTGTCCCACGAAGCTGTGCTGTCTGGCGGTTGATCTAGTTCAGCAACTGCTGGGCCTCTGCGGATTCAGGGTTCTGGAAAGCCTCTAGTAGGTCATCTCGCGTTAGTAGACCCTGCCTTTGTTGATGTTGCTTGACGAAGTAGCCGCTTTTCGCCCGTGCCTGTGCTCGCATCAGCGTGTTGAAAGCCACAAACCGGAATGTGGGATGACGGGCAAATCTGCCGTCATGCCATCGCAGGGCATGCTGTATGTAGTCCGCATATTTGATAGGCCGTAATCTTGGCTCAATGAAATCAGCTTGGCCGCGAGGAAATAGTGTTGGAAATGCTAGGGACAGGAGTGCCTGTGACTGGTTGAATTCATTTATCGGTGTTCTCCGAATATCTGGCATTTCAAGCTGATGTTGTGTCGATGGTCTCGCAGGAAGCAGCTCATCGCGCTCTTTGCCAAGAACGTGCGAATGCAGCGCTTCCATCTCTGTATCCTCTGGTAGTAGATCTGGCACTGCAGATTGGTCAACCTCATCTGGCTCGATGTCGTCATTCTCGATGTCACCCAAATCGGCTGTCAGAGGATCGGCGACTTCCACGGTAGCAACCTGATCAAGTACATCGCCATCTTCGGGCAGCACTGACATCCGGTTCGGGCAGACAGTAATGTCTCGGTAGCCCGGGTGGTTGTCTGACAGGAAGTCCAGCCACTGCTGAAGACAACGACGGCGCACGCGGAACTGGCGTCTGAATTGGCGGTTGAGGTGGGCATCTTGACCTGCATTCGGAGGGCGTAGCAGGATAACATCTAACTCGGGGGGTAACAGGGGAAGTTGGCGATACACTTTGCCAACATCGCGGAGAAAGTGCACAATGTGGCCACGGTATTTGTATTGCTGCCCTCGAACCTGCATGACGTTCACGAACACATGAACTGGAGCAATTAGCATCTCTTCTACCTTCGTCAATTGGGGGAGGAATGCAGGGATTGAGCCAAAATCCAACTGATTTTCGGCTGAAAAAAACCAAGGCTCATCCTCCTTTTTGTTCTTGTCCCTGGCAATGCAACGCTTGCAAATGCCATTCTTCAAGCCCATGTCAAACCATGTCTCCTGACAGCGGGCGCAATGTTCCATTCGGTCATTTCCCAGCTCCGTCCAGAACTCCGTCAGGAGGTCCTTATCTCGATCAGACAACGGGCAATGCGACGGATCACCCATCCATTCAGGATCCGGAAGCTCGAAATCTCGACGTTCCACCACCGGTCGCTCGATAGCCGACTGCCGCAGCGGCACGTGTGGGCTGGAGTGTGTATCCCGGACTCGTCTTGGCCAAATAGAAGGACTCGATGCCGTGGATTCGATCGGAGTTCCAAGCCGTACACCTTGTTGGGAAGCAATCAAGGGACCTGGCTGCGAAGTAATCGACGTGCCTGCTGGTGTTGGCGCAGCAATTGGAGTTCCCAGCTGAATAGATTCTTCTGAGATGATTGGTGTGCCTAATTGCAAGCTTATCAATGGTAATCCTCCTCGACGTATTGGGGATAACGCATGTTCTGCAGTACGCTTAGGGGCACGTGAAGGCTGTCGATTCCTGCAGTCGAGACAGTCAACCGTAGGTTTTCCACATGATATGGACGATTTTTTCTTCGAAATGAATTGATCTGCCGACTTCGCCTTCTTGCAGTTCCTGCAAGCCTTCGTTGAAGCGATAGCATCAGCCATGACTGTGCTGGATTGGACGGCACAGGTTGATGTGGAAGAATCAGGAACCACTGCGTCCGTCGTTGGCAGGCCGACAACACTTTGTGGGGACGCAATTGGCCAATCCGCGTTTAGTGGAACCACAACTGGCCAATCCGTGATGGGTGGGGCATTTCGATGCAAGTTGTCGTGGTAGGGAGTTATCGTTGTAATAAAGTCCTTCGGACTGAATTATGACTGTTCTGTATCTCTGACTTGTCAGGCCTTTCCTGGCCCTCCTCTGCTTCTGTTTGACCAATAATCACTCGTCGGCGGTAAAAAGGAGCACTGTGGGAGGGACTGCCCGGGGCATTCCCGTCCTTCGGTGTTCTCGGCTGCTTGTTCCGTATGTTTGCGGCGTGCTACTTAGAGTGCCGATGTTACCGTATGCGTGTAGCACTGGACGTGTTGCGGCTTGCTCATTGATGTGTTCCAGGTTCGTGTTGACTTGAGGCCGTGTAGACATTGTTAGACCGAAAGGCGCATTCCGAGACGCGTCTCATGGAGCAATGTCTGACAGGACATAGGTTAACTGCGGAAGTGCAAAATATGTTGTGTTCCGAATTGAAGTTCTGAGCTGTTGGTGGTGTTGGTGTCGTGATGTTCATTTGTCATAACGAATCGTACAACCACTTCTGTCCCGCCTCCCGCGCGTCCCCCTCAATCTCGTAAACCGTAAACCGTTGTCGGGCAGGACAAATGGAGTACCCAGGTCCATTCTCCATCGTGGGTCGTACATGAGAGGGTGCATCACTCCCTCTACCGTACTGGGGCTGTATGTTTGGTGTTTCGTGAGGTTCGAGGCTGATTTCGACGCGTCGGCACGCGTTTGACCGAGTATGGTTGTGCTGTCGGGGATGTATTCTTTGTTGTTCGTGGTCGTGGAAGTGATTGCTCTGGTCATAACCGCCCATCTGCTTCACGTCGCGTCGCGTACTGTAACGGTCTCAACTGAGTGTGTTGACAACTAGCTGAGCGACTGCAACGAGTATCCTAAAGCTAAGGAGAA